CGCGCGCACCACCAAGAATACACTCACAAGATTATTATCACTGTTTACCTAAAGAAACTCTCGCTTATTCATTGTATCCTACTTTTAATCTCACCTCAATAGATCACTGACTATTTATTATATTCTTATATTAAATAAAAGAAAATCAACTCATAAAAGGCCGTGTTGAATTGTTGCACTGTCCATTCCATGTGCCAGCAAGCCTCCCCTCAACACCTCAGGGAAGCTTTAGTCTGATCTCAGACAAAACTAATTTATAATTTATAAATATTTAATATATTTGTTTTAAAATACCTACTATTAATATTATTTACTACTATTATATTATTTCATACGTAATGGTAGTAATTTCCATAATGGAATAAAAAATGAAATATTTGTAATATTATTAAAGTTGAGCATCTAGCATTACATCCCGAATTAAAATTATTACATAAATTTTTTAGCCCAGTAATATTTTTAATTTGTATGTGAAAAATGCATACAATAAAATTTTGCTTAAATTTACAAAAAAAAAGGAATTTATTTTATCTTATTCTATTGATTATAAAAATCATACTTATTTGAAATTTATGATATATAAGTTTGTATAGAAACTATAATTATAATTTTTGTATGTACTATGTATTAAAATTCTATTAAAACTAATGAAAATTAAATAAAGAATATGCACAAAATGCAACTCGTCGTTCCGACTTGTTTTATCACGGCCGGTTCGACGGATACAATTTGATGCCGTTGACAACTCAGAGACGACGGGTGTTGTGTGGTAGCGATGACAAGTCACAAGTGGAAGGAATATTATAATAATACAATAAAGATATGGCTGAAGTATATGCTTTTTATTCTGTTATTTATTAATGACAAGGTTGACCAGTATTACTATTATTACCTGTAGAACTAATTCTTGGATTGAAGTACTGTGTTGCAGAGACAACTGTACAATAATCTATGCAGCTTGATTGTTGAATACGAATGGCGAATGGCGCGAAGTTTCGGTTGTCGATACTAGCGCCTTTTGAACGAGCACGTGTGTGGTTGAGGTTATGAATGCAGCTTTATGATTGAAAGATATCGCAAGTGGCGCGAAACTGAATTGCCTACACTTGCGTTGGGTTTTGCTTACTTTCGTAAGCTTCCGAACTTGAACTAAGGTGAGGGTTACGAAGTGGGATACCCTTGGCGGGTGCGAAACTGGACGACGCATACTGGAATTTATTCCGCACTGTCGTTTTAAGAGTCGCTTCTTCGTCCTTAGTGTTTGTCGATGTAATACTCTGAATCTTAATATATATATATATATATATATATTTATTTATTTATTGTAGTAGATACTACTTACAAAGACTAATCGTTGACTCGT